ATGTTTTTAAAAAATGATTTGACCATTGTTAGTTACCAAAATCTGCTCAGTAAGACCTCTAAAACTAGAATATGTTGAAAAATATGTCTACCTTGGAGAATCCCACCACACAGAGCCCTCACGTCTGGAGTGACTTTTTTGTTACTAACTTCCTGAAGAAGGCGAACTGAGAAGACTTAAGGCCTTTGCACACTGAATTTGTTTTTTCGGATGCATTTTTTAATCTGACATCCCAAAAAATTATTACACACAGAAACCTTGCACACTGATTCCGATGCGTGTTATTGTCGTATTCGTTGTGAAAATTTGAAATATGTGACACAATGAAAGACACATTCCCTCTTTTGCCTCTCTGGAGTTACCTATCTGGCTGTCACCACTCCCTCCCTGTTTTTCATTTGGCACCGCAGCTGCATGAAGGGGCGGAGCTGTCCTCCCTCTCTGTCCTCAACTCTAGTGATGGCCAAATGAAGCCTCATGAACCACTTTCTTTATTTTCTGACCCCACCAGATGGCGCTCTTGGTTTAAAGATAAAGGCTGAAGGACTGGCAATGAAGTGTGCTTTCAAACCTTTGTTGAACAGACAGCGCCATCTGGTGGCTTCAGAAAATAAGGACAGTGGTTCATGAGGCCTCATTTGGTCATCACTGTCCTCAGCATCCTCCTCCTCTTCATCATCATCCACCTGAATATTACCGTCTGACCTGCTGAACGTGAGCTATCTGAGTTATAAAATGATTCTGTGCGACCTGTTCTGCTGTCTTGTCGCAGCTGTGTCCCGTTGCCACATTGTCTTCGCAGATTCTTGGTCCAATGCATCTAAAGGCTTCCCTCAGTATGTCGAAATTGCAATGACTGATTAAAGTTTCGGACTCAGCGTGCAAACGTGATTAACACAATGGGAAGTTGTATTTATTTTTAGATGTTCGACAATTTCAGACAAAAAAAAAACAGACTCAATGTGCAAAGGCCTTTACGCTTCAAAGACACAGCAACATCTAGTGGATTCTTTAAGAATAACATGCCTAAACCGAATGGTAGAGATAGCTCAGTCAGGTTGAGTTCAATGTGACACAATTTTTATTAAGCTATACAGACTAAAATAAGCTCTACCAAACAGTTAAGTGGGACAGTAAAGATTTAAATGCAACTATAGCATCAAAACCAATGCCTATACAAAAAAATAGCTGTAAACTGTGGTGACCACCATGTGTGAAATGGTACAAATCAGAGGTTTGGATAACATTACTAGTTTTTATTATATATTAGCACATTTATTTTTTTTTCTTACTTCATTGTGTCTCTTCTTGAACAAAATGTACACCCTTACAATTCTGTGCGGCCCAGAAGTGAGAATAACCAAGTGATGGAAATTTGAACAATTCTAATTAATGAAGAGGTTTGGTCATTTCTTCAGTGTTCCCTGGTTTGAGATCCTCAGATGTGATGATTTTCAGCTTTGTTTTATGCTATTGTGAAGTGAATATCTTATAAAAACTACTTCACAGATATGCAAACATATTTTCTTACCTGTCTGGTGTGTGACCCCCACAATGATAAAAACTGTCCCTGTGAATTAGAAGTAAAAATCTACAGTCAGAATACAAAAACATGGACAAGAATACAAATGTGTGGATGTTTTGAACAAATAATTTAAATGTTGCACATATTTTTCATTGAAGTTGATGAAAGAAGAGTACAAACCAAAGAAGAGCAGTTTCATCCAGCCTCTCTCCATGATCTGCAGCAACGAGAGGTATACAAACTGATGAAGGTATTTCTGTAAATATGGTCCTACCTGCTCTCGTTGTGTCTTCACTTGGAATAATATTTACTCACACACCTCCTTCCCTGTCGCTGAGTTTGGATACCAAATGGTCCGTGACCACGAGTAAGTGGTTGTGTGTTTTTGTTAGTGCATTTGCATCTTAGCGAAAACCTCTGTTGAGTTTTAGACGATCACAGACGGGATGTTTGTAGACTTGACAGCTGGTGTGTGTGCACTTGTATCTTTGTGAGGACCACTGTGAGGTTTTCACCTTGAGAGTGAGGATGTTTCGGCCGGTCCCCACTGCTTCAAAGGATTAAGTTTTAGAATAGGTTAGAATATATTCAAGTTAAGTTTGGGATTAGGCATTTAGACGTAATTTAAATGCAACACTTGTGTTTGTAAGCACTTCTCCTTTTTGTGGATAATGGACTTGCGCTCGTAGAGCACTTTTCTGCTGTTCCAACTACTCAAAGCACTCTAATACTACATATTACATTCACCCAGCGGCACGGTGGTGCAGTGGTTAGCATTGTTGCCTCACAGCAAGAGGGTTCCCGGTTTGAATCTAGGGGTGAGGTGTGCGGAGTTTGCATGTTCTCCCTGTGTCAGCATGGGTTTTTTCCAGGTACTCCAGCTTCCTCCCACAGTCCAAAGACATGCAGGTTAGGTGGTGACTCTAAATTGTCCGTAGGTGTGAATGTGAGTGTGAATGGTTGTCTGTCTCTATGTGTCAGCCCTGTGATAGTCTGGTGACCTGTCCAGAGTTTACCCCGCCTCTCGCCCACTGTCAGCTGGGATAGGCTCCAGCCCTCTCGTGACTCCTAACAGGATAAGCAGTTACACAAAATGAATGAATGACTTACATTCATATATTGGTGGCCAAAGCTACCGTACAAGGTGCCAGCTACTACTCAGTAAGCCATTGGGAACAATGTGGTAGTCAGTATCTTGCCCAAAGACACTCTGATGTGCAGGGATCAAACAACCAATCTGTACACAATTCCTCAAAGCTGAAAACATCCCAGTTCCTGCATGGCATGCATACTCACCACATGTCACCCACTGAGCATTTGGGATGCTCAGGTTCACCTGTGCGACAGTGTGTTCCAGGTCAACATCCAGCAACTTCACACAGCCATTGAAAAGGAGAGGGCCAACATTCGACAACCTGACTCTATGGGAAGGAGATGTGTCGCACTGCAAGAGGCAGATGGTGTCACACCAGATACTGACTGATTCTTTGGGATGTCTGTGACCAAAACTTGCATTTCTGTAGCGCTAGTCATGTGAAACTCCAATAAATGTAGTTTTAAAAAGAAAAGTCAAACAGCACATTGAAGAGCGACCTTTTATCGTGACCATCCAGAGGCACACCTGCTGCTAATGTCAAGGTCGCTTGGGAATATTAAACAAACAAAAAAAAATAAATACATCTATCAAGTGCATAAAAAGGTCTCAGATCTTTACTTTAAACCTGTGAAAACAGAAGTGTTGCATTTCAGTTTTTGGTTCAGTGTTTGTAACCCATCCCAAATACAGAAACACAAATGAGTGTGTGTTTGTGTGTAAGAGAGACGTTCCTTTGTTCACTTTGGTTTGCAGTAGACCACTGCAATGTGTACATGATGTCTGGACAGGACATTTGGTTACTGTCGGTTATTGTTTGTCTGAGCACGGGGGGGGGGGGCAAGTCAAAACTACAACTTTGTTTTGAAAAGAACAGGTGAGCTGCTTGTTTGTCGTACACACAGGTCCTTCCCCTTTTCACATTTTACCACAGCCAGATTTAAGAATTACAAAAATATTCACCAGGATATGGGAACCCCTGAATGTTGGATTAAAGGACAAGGCTGGTCTATATTTTTGTTACAGTCGATGAATTCCTTCGAACAGCCAAAAACCAACAATAATAGACAATTCATCCAACTATTTATCCAAGTATTATCTCTGTGGTAAAGCCTGATTGATCTTATTCATCTCTGTGCCTGCATCACTACAGACACCACACCAAACTGCAGATCTATCTCACGCTCCATTCTAACCTCACTCGTGAACAAGACCCGGAGATGCTTGAAATCCCTCGTTTGAGGCAGTAAATTCCTCAGTTTAGGCGCGTAACAACAGAAAGCGTTCTCACCAGAACTTTTATAGGACACATGAGGAATATTTTAAAGTAAAGCAGTGAAGGCTGGAACATAAAATGATAGAAAATCTCTGATGTCAGGAGGGGCAAGGTCATTTAAAGCTTTATAAACAAGTAAAAGAACTTCAATCGATTCTATCAATTCTAAAAGATACAGGTTGGGAGTTGGGAGTCACAGTGCATGTTATATTTAGGTTCCCCTAGACCAGGAACACAACGCCAACAACACAGACAGACAGAAATTGCTTTTTATGATTTTGATTCAGATGTTCCCTGTGAATATTATACAACATTTTAAAGCAGCAGACAGGCATTTTTATAGATGAGCCAAAGTCCTTCAAGCTGTTAAAGGAATCAGGTACTTGTCAGGGGTCATTACTGGATCTGTTCTTTATGCTAAGTGCTCATTAGACACACTTAGGTGGTGAACACAGTAAACCTGCCAAACATCAGCATGTTAGCAAGCTAACATTAGCATTTAGCTCAAAGCACTGCTCTAGCCTGACAGAGCCGCTGACATGACTGCAGTCACTATGGTAAGTGATATGATAATAAAGGTTTTATGTTCTACGACAAATCATGAGACCTTTGTTGTATTTTATAACCAACAGACCGCCCTCTTGACCTACTCTGAAGCTATCACAGTCGCTATCAAAACTCATCCTGACATGTGATTAAAGATGAATGCAGAGAAGTGACTAGTTAACATTCCCAGGGTGATGACTGCATGTGACAGATTTTCCTACCTCGTTAGGGACTGTTTGGTATTTATTAGAGGGGAGGAGGTGGCGCAAAACAAGAAAGACATGTTAAATCATTTTTAAGACCTGGGGATATACAATAAGTGACACTCTGCAATGTCCAAATCTGTCAAAGTTTCTCAAATATATACATTAATACAACATGTACTTAAACTGAAGTGTATTGTATCACACTAACCAGATCCTCAACCTGTAATTTTTGATCTTCTTTCTCCCTTTTTCAAAATTTTATATGTTTATAATGTGATAATTTATATTGTAAGAATGTGAAAAGTTTCACATTAAAACATGATCATCTAAAAAATTGAAAACAAAACAAAACAATGAAGTCAAATTCTGATTTTATTTGGCTGACATTTCTTTGTTGTAGATCACAGTACACACTTTAAAGATGAATTACAGTTGTATTTAAGAGCTTAACCGAATAATCTAATAAACTTGAAAAAAAAAACAATTTTATTCTCAGTTCTTTCAAATCAAAATGTGTTCAGTGTTACAAGGAAACAAAGGTGACAAATGGTTTATTTTTTCCAGCCATTGACAGTAAAATCCAGAGACACATAAGTAAAGTGAAAGCGATGCTAATTTTTACATTTACAGATTGTTTGTCGTTGAAGACAAGAATAGCGAGGGTGGATGACTAATGAATTATGACCCATTCTTCTTCACCAAATTATCAGTCATTTAAGTTAATGAAATTAAATGTAGTTCCTTTATTTATCAGTCCACACAGACACGCAATGATGGCAGAGGGTCAGCAATAACATCTCAGCGGTGCCCAGAGTGTGAAGTGGCACCCCTCCAGCTGCCAGCCCACATGCCATTTCTAGACCGTTCAGGGATTTTGAACCAGCGACCCTCTGGTTCTCAAGTCAAGTCTCCTCAGACTGAGCTACTGCCGCCCCCAACAGCTGACAACTGTTGTGATGCAAAACGAGACATATTAAGCGTTGGCACATTTACATTTGAAGACACGTTGTAGATTTGGTTTTCAAAAGTCATGGGTTGTCGCTGGTGCTCCTGTTGTTGTTGTTGTTGATCTTCAGAAGGCAACTTCAGGAAACAATAACAAAGGAGACCGTCCAACAAGAGTTGAAAGTTTGTGTAAAACAGAGCATTCATGAAATGTTGCTCTACAGGCATGGTGATCATTAGCCACTCAAGAATAAAAGTGGGAGTGAAGACAATTAAAAATGTGAGCATGGCGACAAGCACAATCAGTTTCTTCCAAATGGCATTAGAGGGTGACGCGGCGGTTGACACTACACACTTTACAGGGATTAGCAGAGCAAAAACAATGATCATTACTTGCAACCCCGTCATTGTCCCAGCGGGTTGTAGTATAAAAGCAGGGATAAATATAAACCCTAATTTAATAAGGGGTAAGTAAATCCACCACTGATTGACACCCCGTTCTGGGTGGCACAGGAAAATGAGGCACACCCAGGTGTTTAGGAGATGTAAAATAAATCCAAAGCATCTCGACAGATACCACGCAATGACAACATATTCACAGTGTAATTCAGAGTTGCAGGTGGACGTGAGGAACCCAATCGCTATGATGATTGCTGTGACTGCATTCACAAAGTCGATAAAGAGCAGAGGGAGAAGATTGCCTTGGATTTTTTGAACGTTCTTGAGGCCGTGAATCTGGCACGAGAGGGTTAATCTGAGACCTTCAAGCCTGCTGCGCTGCGACCAGAAGACCCAGATGTAAGTGGCAAGCCCCATGAAGACGTAACCCAGGAGAAGTCCCGCAGCCAGATTAGGGTTCCCTTCAACGCTTGCCGTCACATGCAGGGCTGATTCTCGACTGTGGGGCAAGCTGCTGAAAAGATGGGTGATGCTCTCCATGATGTGGTGGTCTGACTAGTTTTGTTGTCCTGATTGAAGAGAGACAAAAGTCTTGATTAAATTTTATCACAGAACATCGTCCATACCAACCCTGTTTATTTGTTTTTATTATTATGTCTTGGTAAGCAACCAAGCTGCTGGCTGAGCTGTATTCACACATGACGTAGAAAGGTGGTCATGGCGGCAATGCATACAGAGCACAGGACATCCTAAGTCCCAGGGATAGTTTGATTTAGGCAGCAAAAGTGCTTTTGTTAAAGGTCGGAAAAGAACGTGGTTTCGATCCAATGTCAGGAAAGTGAACACATCATGTGTCGCACTTCATCTCACTGCAGGTCGTTCCAACACTGAACCAAGACCACAGTGTTTCCTTTACCTGAACTTCCCTTAAGTGCCTAAATATAACCATACAATGCTTTAGTTACAAGTTGCAAGTAGACATCGTGGGGGGGAAACATATTACTCAACAAATTACTAAGTGGATTAAAAATAACACTGCATTTACTGCTGCAAAGTAGTTGTAACTAGTGATGGCCAAATGAGGCCTCATGAACCACTGTCTTTATTTTCTGAAGCCACAAGATGGCGCTGTGTGTTCAACAAAGGTTTGAAAGCACACTTCATTGCAAGTCCTTCAGCCTTTATCTTTAAACCAAGGGCGCCATCTGGTGGGGTCAGAAAATAAAGAAAGTGGTTCATGAGGCTTCATTTGACCATCACTAATAAATAGAGATGTTGAGCTTTTCAGAAGATGGTCAGTACATGTGTGCTCGTAAACCACCCCTTAAACCTGTCAAACACTGCTGTTTGTGAGTGTGCAGAGATTATTTGTATTTGTAGAAAAAAAATTTCTAAATTAAATTTTCATACAACCTGTCACCGTGATTCTAATATGTGATACATAAATTAGCCTCACTAGATTAATATAAAGATTAAATAAAATGTCATGAATTTTTGTCAAATAAAAATAGACTAAAATTATCTCTTTCTACAATCACAGGGAGATTTGTTTTACAATTTTGCCTTCTTGGTTTTTTATTGTGAAGTTGATGCTTCATCCAATTCTGGTATTCCTGTTGCAGTAAAGTTTTTCTAGCTGTTAATGTTCAGACTGATATGTAAAATGTGAACACCAGAAAACACTGAGGCTACTAATTATTGCTTGCCAGTAGTATCAATCATCTATATTTCTTAAAGGTATAATGAGCACGAAGATTGGTTTTTACCTGATTCAGGTGTTGAGTTCTTTTTGCCAGCAGAAAGCTGTTGAGTGACTGACTTCGTTTCTTTGGGCTGCATATTTATAGCAGTACAGCACCTTGTAAAAGTAGTGCGTCAAGCCCAAGCCTTTTTATTTCCTTGTATCATCACACAACACCAGTACTCTTTTGGCGGAGTTAAAACCTTTACAACAGTGATCGTCAACTGCCGGCCTGCGGGCCACATCCGGCCGGCCAAAGCTTTCCATCTGGCCTGCAGAATATTAATCAATTCAGCAAATGTGTGTGTACAATTTGTGTACAATTTTGTGCATTTTTGGCCATTTCCAGGGGTCGTACTTTAACAAACTCCTCCTACAGATTTGATCTGACTGACTTCAAATTTTGTCCATACCATCTAAGGACCTTGGACAACAAAAGTTGCTTAAAGGGATAGTGCACTCAAAATGAAAATTCAGCCATTATCTACTCACCCCTGCCAAGGGAGGCTCTGGTGAAGTTTTAGAGTCCTCACATCCCTTGTGGAGGTCGGCGGGGGGAGCGGCTAGCACACCTAATGGCTGACGGCGCCCCAGACTAACGTCCAAGAACACAAAAGTGAAACCACAAAGTATCTCCAACATGCTCATCTGTAGTGATCCAAGTGTGCTGCAGCCGCGACATAAAAAGTTGTTTCGAAAAACGTCATATGAACTCTGTTTTTAGCCTCACTGTAGCCTGTAGTTCTGACTGCTTCTCTGTGCTCCGTGCTCACGTGTGCGCGCTTGTGCGAGACCAGCGAAAGCATGAGCTTTGCTCACCCGTGTTTACATCACGTGACACGTGCACCGCAGGGGGAGACAACGTAACCACAGAGCTAAAAGATAATTTGCACTAAGGTCTTTTAGCAAAGGACAGCCCAACATGTCTGAAGACTTTGAAATTGAGGAGGAACAGAATACCGGAGTCGAGCACTGGAAACCTGGTGGTGTAGTTGTTTCAAATGCAAAGCAATGCCAATGGGTGAGGAAAGTCTTTGCTGCTCAGACTGGGAATTGGCGATGCCTGCACTTGAGAATCTGGACATCAGTACTGACGAGACTGCTGCTCTTAAGAGACCATGCATCACTGATCACCCTGAGCGCGCACACGTGAGCGCGGAGCACAGAGAAGCAGTCGGAGCTACAGGCTACAGTGAGGCTAAAAACAGAGTTCATATGACGTTTTTCGAAACAACTTTTTATGTCGCGGCTGCAGCACACTTGGATCACTACAGATGAGCATGTTGGAGATAATTTGTGGTTTCAATTTTGTGTTCTTGGACGTTATTCTGGGGCGCCGTCAGCCATTAGGTGTGCTAGCCGCTCCCCCCGCTGATCTCTGCAAGGGATGTGAGGACTCTAAAACTTCACCAGAGCGTTCCTCAGCATGAGGGTGAGTAGATAATGGCTGAATTTTCATTTTTTGGTGCACTATCCCTTTAAAGCTTGAGTTTTCATCAAATCATGTGACCGTGGTCAGGTGTCAAATTTCCATGTTTCACCACCAAACAGGAAGTGGTTTGTAGGTTCAGCATACATGGTCTAATCTGCCCCAAACTTCATGTTCTACAAGGCTCCAGGCCTGAAGCCATCTCCATGCACATTAGGGGTCACAGTTCGCCACTCCATGGAGGATATGCCATCTCACTCCTGCGTGCCGGGCCTGACGTTCACAGAAATGAACTGCCTGCAGCTTTAATAAAATGGATTTACTAACCCCAAATATGTGTGTTTGTCAAAAAGTGACAAAGCAGAGTTCTTATTAAGTTAGTAATATCTCAAGGAAACACTGCATGCAGTAGTTCAACTTCCGCCATTTCTCCCCCTCTCTCTGTCACTCTTTCTTTCGCTCTGTCACAAATGTGTTGCTCAGTTTGTGTGCCTGTCCTCAGTCAGGAAAGTATGTGCAGGTGCTTACAAATGCTGGGATAAAAAAGATAAAAATTTAATTTACCTTTGTTTATCCCATAATGTTGTATTTTGCCATTCAACTTTAGTATCCTTTGGGACTGTAAAGGATCATATGATTTGACAGATGTGAAACATTTATACTTGTTTATTATTTTGTTGAAGGACAATCTGCTGACACATTATGAGGGGGAAACTAAGGCTTTATTTCATTTAATATATTACCTGACCCACATTTAACCCTTCTATCATCGTGTTTGTAAACATGACTTTTTTCAGTTTTTAAAGGGATACGACACTTTCACACATTCTCTTCAAAAACAGCACTGCAAGTCATTAAGAAAATATCGGCATTGTACATTTCTGCAAACCATGAATATGTTACATGCACGTTTCATGCGTATCATATCAACACTTTTACAGTGATGTAATACATGAGCTGACTTTGTCATCAGAAGGTGGAGGGGATGGAAGGTGAAGCAGGATGTACCACCAACTGGGTAAAGAATCCATAACTACGTTTTACAAGCTGCCAAACCGGAAAACTGAGCTTTTAAGCAGTATGGCTTGGAGCATCAGCAGGATGATATGGGAAAACTGTGGGATCCTGGGCCACACTGCCTGTGTGAGCAGTGCATGACCGCTATCTCCCTTTTATTTTTAAACAGAAACAGGAAAAGTTGAGGTAAAACAAAATATTTACATACGTTGGACATTGGAATTATAATGAAGGTAATATGATGTCAATAAGATTATCAAAGGCCTTTGATATAAATGTGCCAACAAGGAAAACATCTTCCTGAAAATCTGGAAACGGTTTCTCATTAAATAGTCTACAATCCAGCAGATTTGAATTGACTCATATCTGTGGGTTTGACGTTAGGTGGCTAGGTCCTATACGTGGTGTTACCAAGGTGTTCTTTTGTTTTGTTTTGTTTTGTTTTGTTTTGTTTTGTTCTTCATTTCCTCTGTTGAATACTAATATAACTTTCAATGCGTACTTCTTTATTTTATCCTTTTTTTGTATTGTGTGTTTCTTGTTTCTTTCCTTTTTCACTATATTTGTTCCAGCTGGTCTTTATCTTGCCTCTATGTTGAATACAGATTGCTGCCTTTGCAATGTACACATTATCTGATGAAAAGAAAAACTTTTTAACAAATATATATATACAATTATCAAAACACAGTTTTCATTGTCTGTTTTTGTTGAAACTGTGAACATCACGTGGACAAAGTAGGCATGATAATTCTCGGGGTGTTCCACAGCTAGCACGTGTACTTTAGCAGCGCTGCTCACGCAGGCAGTGTGGCTGCACATTCATTCCTCTTGGTGCTCTGCTGCTCCAGGAGCAGTATGTTCTGAATGACCCAAGAGTACATTACAGCAGACCTATGAGTTTACAAGTGGTCCAATTTGTGCCCATTATTAGAGCCACTAGCATGGCTTGTTTAAGATATTACTGACAGACCTAAAATCCTAAAATTCATAACTGACATACTGCCGTGATCTCTAAAAGTTGCCATCAAAACTCATCCTGTTATGTGATCAAAGATGAATGCAGACGTGACTTGTAAACATTACCCAGGTGATGACAGCATGTGACAAAGTTTCCGCACCTGTTACTGCATGAAGCAATAGCCTTTGATTAGCTCTATAAAGGTAAGCTACCAAATTACACCTGGGATGTATTAAAACTGATTGGATATGCCAAGAAATATCAAATTTAGTTGGCATTTCTTTGTTATAGACCATCAAAAAGGAAAGAATAACAAAAAAGAGAAAATAAACACAATTTTATAGTTAATTTTTCACAGTTCTTTAAATAACAGCTCATTTATTGCCAAAAAAATCAGTTTTCCTGGTGAAGAAATCATTTTAAATACACAGGGAAATGTTCAAAGTTACCTAGAAAGCAAGGTGACATTCTGAAATGCTTGTTTTTTTTCCATCCAGCCATCCAAAATTTAAAGACACTTGATATCTTTGGGTTTGTGGTATAGGGGGTTAGGCCAATGGTAAACTACAACAGACAGAAATTTAATAAAAAAAAATTGAATTGAGGTTTCCGGTTCCGGGTCGTAAGGGATGGCAGCATGAAAAGAATCTCTCGACTTAAGAAAATAAAATTGCCCCGAAAATCTTAAAACAATCACTGAACCGCGTCTGAACAGTTACAGTAAGGGGCTAAGATGCCGACGAAAGGAAAGAAAACAACAAAGCCAGCACGTAGTGTTGTAAACACCGAGGATTTGCCGCAGCTACTTGAAGAAGCTAGTGCTAACAGGGATAGCTCGCCCTCACCGAGCCGTGATAGCAGTGAATCTGAGGAAGAGGAGGAGGCGGTAAGCCTGGCCGTGATATTGAAAGAGCTACGAGGCTTCAGAAAAGATAGCAAAAAACAGATGCGGGACATTAAAAGTGAACTGGCCAAGACCATCGCGAGGCTGGGGGAGGCAGAGACTAAAATAGTGGTTAACGAGGAAAAGCTCCAGAACACCGAGGAGATATTAGCAGTGATGCTAAAAACACAAGACCAGCTACAGGCTAAGCTAACAAGTTTGGAGGGGCACACAAGGAGGGAAACGCTACGTATATTTGGGGTCCCGGAGTGGTCTGAACCAGCACAACAGTCCATGATTCCCTTTGTGGAGAAGCTGCTCAGGGACAATCTTGACATCCCCCCTACATTAGAGCTACAAATACAAAGAGCTCATAGGGCATTAGCGCCTATGCCCCCATCTGACGCACGGCCCAGATCAATTCTGGTGAAGTTTCTTAGCTTCCCAGTCAAAGAAGAAGTGCTGAGACTGGCTTGGCAAAAGAGAGGCTTTGTGTGGGAAAACAGTAAGATCAACCTCGACCATGACTTCCCACCAGAGATAATGGCCAGGCAGAAGGAGTACGCAGAGGCACGAAGGATCCTGAAGGACAAAAATCTACGATCCCAATTCCTGTATCCAGCTCGCCTGAAGGTCAACCATGAAGATGGCTTTAAAGTCTACAACACTGTGAAGGATGCGACGGCGGATCTTGCCAGAAGAGGCCTGCCGGTGAAAGTGGTCAAGCCTGTAACGGTCCTGGAAAAGCTGCAAAGGTGGTCGTCATGGCACACTGTGGAGGGCCGTCGTAAGCTACGAGCCAGGGGGGACCCTGGCTATAAAGAAAGACTGCAAATATTCAGGCGCGAGCATAAGGAATAATTAGGCTTTGCAGAGGAAATGAACAAGTTTGAAGGTCGGCTAAAAACAAACACTAAATACAGTCGAGGCAATTATGTCGGTTTTTTGTTTTCCTTTTATCTGAGACTGTCATTTTGGTTGAGGGCCCTCTAACTCAGGGAGTGTTTTTTGAGGTTATCCCTCAAGAATGAGGGGGAAGTCTGTTTTTGTTTGTTCTTTGTGTGTTTTTTTCTTTTATTTGTTCTATCAAGGGAGTTTACCAGCAGGTCAGGGTACGATGTATGATCATGTTGTTTTATTTACTGTTATATGCAAAGTGGACCGGTGAAAATAATTTCTTTTAATGTAAATGGGGTTTTGAATCCAATGAAGAGACGCAAGATACTGTCAGTTTTAAAAAAGGAAAAAGCTCAAATAGCACTCCTCCAGGAGACTCACCTGAGTCAGTCTGAGCATGCAAAATTGAAGGGAATGGGTTTCAACTATGTGTTCTCCTCCTCAGATAAGTCAGGCCACAAGAGGGGAGTAGCCACTCTTATTTCTAATACGCTCAATTATGAACATATGTCAGCAATTAGTGATGAGGAAGGCAGATTTGTTAAGGTTACAGGGAAAATAGAAGGGACTGAATTAACAGTGATTAATGCATATATTCCTCCAGGGAGTGACTGGCCACTATACAGATGTATGTTTGATTTGATGGTTGACGCTCAGGGATTGGTTGTGTGTGGGGGAGATTTTAACATATGGCTAAACCACAATCTTGATTCCTCAGGAATAACCGGATCGAATAAAGCACTTACGAGGAAAGTTAAGTCATACATGGAAGAAATGGGTATAATTGATGTGTGGAGGGAACTTTATCCAACAGGCAGAGACTATACACATTACTCAGTCCCACATGCAGTATATACAAGGATAGACTATTTCTTTATGTTTAACATTGATCGGTTTAAAATAAGAGATTGTAATATTGGAACAATAGACTTGTCGGACCATAGCCCCATCTCTATGTCTCTGTCTCTGGAAAGGAAAAGATGCAAAACTCTTTGGAAATTAAATTCACACATACTTAACGATCCAGTGATTCTATCCACAATAAAGAATGACATTAAGGAATACTTAGAGGTGAATGATACAGGAGAAGTATCACCAGCAATCCTGTGGGACACTCTAAAGGCAGTAATGAGAGGGAAACTCATTTCTATAACTTCCCACTTGAAAAAACTGAAGGAGCAGAAGCTGACAAATTTTCAGGGTCAGTTAAAGCAGAAAATACTTGCGGATACTGGCAACACTAACCCGGACCTAAAGCAGGAAATAAGGAAACTACAGGGGGAAATCAATGATATACTCACACAAGAAGCTCAGAAAAAAATCCTTTTCATGAGGCATAAGTACTATGAGATTGGGAGCAAATCAACAAAATATTTAGCCTATAAATTACGCAAACAGCAGGAGGAGAGTACAATATTTAAAATTAGATCACCCAAAACTAAAACGATAGAGAATAAAATGGAGAAAATTCAGGAATGTTTTGAGGTCTTCTACAGAGAGCTATATTCTCAACCACAGGCCCCAGAGGGAAACCACATGGATACCTTCCTCAACTCCCTGATGTTACCTACTCTTACAGAGCAACAAAATGAATTTCAATTAAGACCAATCTCAGGGGAGGAAGTCAACTCGGCCATTACTAAATTGAAGACAGGGAAGGCCCCTGGGGCAGACGGGTACAATACTGAGTGGTATAAGTTTCTGAGATCTGATTTAGTCCCAATACTGCTCAAAACATTTAATTGGATTTTAAAAGAAGGAGTGATTCCTCCCTCTTGGCGAGAGGCAATAATCTCAGTGATTCCCAAAGAGGGAAAAGATAGGCCTCAGTGCGGCAATTATAGACCAATCAGCGTTCTTAACCTGGATTATAAAATGTTCACTTCCATTCTTGCACGTAGACTAGAGAATCTCCTCCCACATCTTATCCACTTAGACCAGACAGGTTTCATTCGTCACAGACAGACTACGGATAATATAAGAAGAACTCTGCATATTCTTAGACAAATAAAACAGGATAATATGGAATCGTTGATAGTAAGTTTGGATGCTGAGAAAGCCTTCGACTCAGTCAGATGGGTTTTCCTGTATAAGGTTATGGAGAAGTTTGGCTTTAATAACAGCTTCATAAAGGTAATCCAAGCCCTGTTTGATAAACCTGCAGCCCGTGTTAAGATCAATGGGGGTCTTTCTGACTCATTTCTCCTGAAACGCGGCACGAGACAGGGCTGCCCAATTTCGCCTCTCCTCTTTGATTTATTTATCGAACCTTTAGGTCAATTGATAAGGCAAAATAACAAGATCACAGGAATTGTAATAGCTGGAGGAGAACACAAGGTGGCAATGTTTGCTGATGACGTGTTGATCAGCCTGGGGGAGCCTGAGAGGTCATTTACTGAGCTGATTTTGGCACTACGTGAATTTGGTAAATTTTCCAAGTACAAAGTAAACATTTCTAAGACACAGGTAATGACCCTAAATTTTAAGGCCTCAAAGAACCTTGGTATAACACTCACGGGGGACCTCTCTAGGCTTTTCCAGGCTAATTATGGACAAATATCAGCCAAGATAAAATCTGACTTGCACAGATGGAGCCTCATTCCCTTCCTAAGTCTTAGCTCAAGAGTTAGTGCTGTTAAAATGAACATCCTTCCCCGCCTACTCTATCTCTTCAGAAACCTGCCTATAGAGGTAGCTGATAGTCAATTTAAGGAATGGGACAAAGAAGATGGGGGAATGTCCCTCCCATGCTTAAAGAACTACTATTATGCTGCCCAGTTAACAACTCTACTCTATTGGTGCAACAGTGATTACAGGGCGAACTGGAAGGACCTGGAATCCGGACTTGTGGAGGGGTTTCCTCTACAGTCTGTAATGGCGGACAAGGGACTGATGGAACAACTGGAGAAAACAGGGAACACATGGACTAATCATACCTTGAAAATATGGCAAATGGTGATCAAATCATGTGGTATTCAAAAAATGCTGAAACTATTTAGATGGTGTGCTTACAACACAGATTTCCTTCCCAACAGAGGTGATGGTGAATTTAATTTTTTAATTTGGACAGAGAGGGGGCTAACTAATTATTTGACATTTATACATAAGGACTCAGTTCACTGTTTTGAATTCTTGCAGGACAGGCACGGCTTGGAGCAGAATGATTTTTATAGATACCTGCAGGTACGACACTATATTAATCAGGAATGTAAATTCAAGGGTTTTTCAACAGTTGAATCCAAATTTTATGCAATATTACTATCGGCCACATTGTCTACCCCTAAAAAAGCTACTTCAATCTCATGCTAAGAACCATAACGCTAATTATATTAAAGAGAAGTGGGAACGAGAGGCAGGGATTAGATTGTCACAAGAGGCCTGGGGGGATATTTGGCAATTTCAGTGGTCCTCAACTAACTCCATAGACTGGAGAGAACATTGTTGGAAAAACATAATTAGGTACTTTAAGACACCCAACCAAGAGAAATATAGAGATGCTAATATGCCATGCTGGCGGCAGTGCAGTTCACGGTTGGCAAACCACTATCATATATTTTGGGACTGCCCCAAACTGAAACTGTTTTGGAAGGGTGTTCATGACTCTCTAGGTAAAATTTTTGGCACACAGGTTCCTCAGGACTTTGAAACTTTGTATCTGGGCCGTGTCTCCTTTTTGGACCAAAGGAAGGATATAAGATTACTACAAATTCTATTAACGGCAACGAAAAAATCTATCACTAGGAGATGGCTAAATCCAGCACCACCAACAATAGATGATTGGCTTGGAATAATTTTAGAAATATTCAAGACTGAAAAAATAACATATTGTTTAAGAACCCAAAAAGAGCAATTCTATCAAATTTGGAACAAATGGATCGCATATATAACCCCCATTAGAGCTGACTTTATCTGAGTCTATGGTCCATTAAACTCTACTTTATTTTATTGTGTTTCATTACTTCTTGTAACTTTATTATCTGACCTGGCTGGCAATATTGTCTCCCACTGTTCCATGTATATAGTTGCTTATGTGATTCCCTGTTCCTTATTTTATATACTAAAAACTGGGAAGATCTACACAGTGAATGAAGATACAGCTACTGTCATGTTATAAGCATGTCTTTCCAAATAAAGATATAATAAAAAAAAAAATAAAAAAATTGAATTAAAGATTGGAGGTGATTGGGTCCAGTATGGATCTTAAAAATCAAAGTTATTCAACTGCAATAAATTAAATTTTCCTATGAAGAATTAATTTTAAATGCACCTTACGCAACCTTACTATGGAATCCAATGTGACATTATGAAATGTCTGGTTTTTCCAAACAGCGATAATAATACTGTGGAGTACTATTCATTAATTTTCTGTAACATCTGTAGTGAGTCGCAGGTGTGCAGCCATGATTGGGTGAGAGGCAGGGTAAACCCTGGACAGGTTGCCAGACTATCACAGGGCTGACATACAGAGACAGACAACCACTCACATTCACACCTGCGGGCAATTTAGAGTCACCAATTAACCTAACGTGCATGTTTTTGGACTGTGGGAGGAAGCTGGAGTACCCAGAGAAAACCCACACTGACACGGGGAGAACATGCAGGACCCTGGCCAGCTGGTGGGTTTGAACCACCATGCCATCAATTAATATTAAATATTAAAGCTCTGCATAGTGTCCATATTACATCAGTTCTCTTTGTCTTGCCTGGTATGGTTTGGAGGGAAAAAGGGGTGTGGGAGGAAGGTGTTGTTTTTTCTTTTTATTCTATTATTTTTATTGATGCAAGAAATAACAACAATTTTTATGATGCTGAGAAATAATTAAACATTTGCACATTATGACATTACATTTGCAGAAAAGACATTTCCCATATTCTCTTGTTGGTATTGCTCCTATTGGTTTTCCTCCTCAGAGGGCAGACCAACAAAGGTGGATGAATTTTGAATTGAGCCATTTCCCTTCACCTTATTATCTACTGTTTGCAAATGGTGTGATGCAAAGTCCTGACAATTTTCGTGGTGCTTAGACATAAATGCAATTTTGTACATTATGTAATTATATTGGGGAAACACCAGTGTTTTCAAAACTCTGGTGTTGCTGTTGTTGCTCCTCTAATAGTTGTTCTTCCTCTTCAGAGGGCAGTTTCAGGATAAGAAAACACAGGAGTCCATCCATTAGGAGATGAAAGCTTGTGAAAAAAAGAGACTTCATAAAAATTGTGAGATACTCATCAGTCGGCTCCTCGCGGTTGATTGCACTGATTATTAGGCACTGTAGAATAAAAGGGGGGGTGTAGACAAATAAGAATGTGAGCATGGCGACAAGCACAATCGGTTTCTTTCTAGCGGCAGCAGAGGGGGACACAGCTGGCACTGTGCATTTTGCAACGATGGTCACAGCCAACCCAATGGTGATAGTTCCCAGTCCAAATATTGCCACCTGGCGGTAAAATACATAAAAAGGGATCAACACAATCATCAACAGAACCACCAGTGTGTGAAAACAGCGCAATTTGGCTCCCAGTTGTGGGTTTAACAGGAAAAGGAGGCACACCAGAGCATTTAGGAGGTGTAAAACCACTCCCATGCATCTTGATATGAACCACCCAAAGAAGGCATAGACAAAGACCATTCCAGAGTTGCAGGTGGACCCCAGGAACCCAATCACCAAAACGACTGCTGTGATTGCATTCATAATATCAATAAAGAGCAGACTGAGAAGGAAGTTGTGGATGTTTTGAACACCCCTGAGTCTCCCATGCTGGGCTGAGAAGGTCAAGATGAAGGCTTCCTTAAAAGCTGTGAGCCTGCTGCGCTGCGACCAGAAGGCCCAGATGTAGCTGATGAGCCCCAGGAAGAGGGACCCCAGGAGAAGTCCTGCACACATGTTGGGGTCTACTTCAACACCTGCTGTCATGAGGAGGGCTGATTCCCGATTGTAGGGCAAGCTGCTAAAAAGGTAGGTGTTGTTCTCCATGGCGTGGTGGTCTGACTAGCTTGGTCGTCCTGTTGGAGGGAATTAAAAAAAAACTAATGATTTTATCTTATCACTTAAAACACATCATCCATGGTGGTAAGAAGCTGCTGCCTGGATAATCTCACACATGAACAAAGGTGTTGCTGTGGATGGTATTGGTGCAGGACATCCTGATTCCAACACATAGTTTGGTTTAGGTAACAAAAGTATTTTGGTAAAGGGTTGAGAAAAAACAAGATTTCAATTAAATGTTAGGAAAGTAAACAAGTCATGTGAAGTCACTGCAGACCATTACAGAACTATGACATTTAGTCATAGTCTTGTAATAAAAAAAACTACGCCGAGAGTCTCTACTGCATTCTGGCAACACATTCTCACTCCAACCTTGTCTCATATTGGTGTTAGGTCATGGACCTTCCATGTCCTGATACGACTTGACAACGCACCCTGGGTAGTGAAGGCCAAATGAAGCCTCATGAACCACTTTCTTTATTTTCTGACCCCACCACATGGCGGTCTTGGTGTAAAGATAAAGGCTGAAGCACTTGCAATGCCGTTTGCTTTCAAACCTTTGTTGAACAGACAGCTAGTGGCTTCAGAAAATAAAGACAGTGGTTCATGAGGCCTCATTTGGCCATCACTAACATGGGTGCATTGGTTGTTGGCGTTCTGAGACATCGTGTTAAGTTGGGTCTGTTACATGCATTGTCTTCTTTCAAAATACGCTTCTGTTTTCACATGCTAATATTATTAGCACAAGCCTATGGCATTTTTCATTGTATAAATTAGCCCAGTGATGAGCTCATATGAAGCCAGGATAAATCACACTTAAAAAGACTTAAAATGTTATTTTTGTGGAGGCTTTATTGTCTTCACAATTTATTGTTTCTTATTTGTGAAATTAAAGTAAATAAAAGCTTTGTTTCCACTGAGGGAAATGGTTTCAGCTTACAGAAATCTGTCGCCGCGACATGTAGTTACATTTCTGGGGGGGTGCATGTCAGGGACGTCAGTGCAGAACCTACAGTGTAGTATAAATCCCTTTCACTCATTGAGACAATGCTGTTTGTGACCACCAGTAAAAATGTTTTTGTTTCTTGTTTTTTACACTGCAAGTCCCATGGACAGTAAAACATCATCGAGATAGAGCTAATTAAGCATCTGCTGTCACAGCAGAAGTTGTAATGAAAGATTACAGAAGTGTGCAGTAATGTCCTACATTTGGGTATGTTTGATAAACCCAAAAAATAGAAGGTTATACTGTCCTCCAAATTAAAACTAAGCTTGTCTTTTAAAGAGAAAGACAACTAGCCTGTTTGAAAGACAATGAATAGCCAAACATGTACAGATACTTAACACTAAAACAGGACTGTGATGGAACTCCAAATGTTAACCATACCAGTGTTAGTCTATGCACATCAAATAATTATATCTTATATATATTAGATTATTGTATATAAATTACCTAAACTTAGGTAAAATGAGCATTAAAAAAAGATTGGTTCTTACCTGATGAAGGTGTTGACCTGTTTTTGCCAAGGGAAAGCTGCTGAGTGACTAACTTTGTCTCTATAGGCTGCATATTCATGACTAAACGTTGTAAAACCAGCGCAATCCAGCACACGCCTTCTTTTATTTCCTTGTATTGTCACACAATGCCAGTACTGACCTCATCTGACAGATGACAGGGTAACCTTAACAAAAATGACAAAATGTTTTTTGTTTAACTAAATATTGTTCATTTTCTTATAACCAGAGTGAGGCTGATTGCTTTTGCAACTTTGTAGAGATTTTAGTTGTTTACATTGTGGGGTAACAAATGGTAACTGACGCTTTGGTTACTTTCCTTTTACATGGATTTTAATGTTGAGGAGAATTATATATGCATAGGTTCGTACAGATGCTCTGATAAAGTTATATTGTCTATTCTGTATCAGCTGACATTGCACTGGATCTTGTGATGTGTACTTGTTTATTGTTTTGTTGAAGGGCAATCTGCTGACACATTATGAGAGAAAAACTATAGAGTTTTATTCCTATTTTTATTCAAGAGCATGGATTATAAATTTGAGAGCAATAGTTATTGAGTTAACTTTCAGATTTTATTTCAGCCCCTGCTTGCTTTATGCTCAGACTGTATTCCTTAACTCACATACTTCCAAAATATGTGCGCTTGCAACACTCTGGGTCAGACAGATTGGTCAGCAACACTGGGACTCCTCGGGGGACAGTCCTTTCTTCACTCTTCTTCACCCTTTACACCACAAACTTTAACTACAACACAGAGTCAGAAGCTTCAGAAGTTTTCTGATGACTCACATGGTGTGAGCAGAACCATTTACAACGTAATGTGACAACGACAAAGGAGCTGGTTGTGCATCTGAGGAGGGCAAAGACGCCGGTGACCCCTGTTTCCATCCATAGGGTCAGTGTGAACATTGTTAAGTATCTGGGAGTAGTGATGGCCAAATGAAGCCTCATGAACCACTTTCTTTATTTTCTGACCCGACATTTATTTTCTGATAAAGGCTGAAGGACTGGCAATGAAGTGTGCTTTCAAACCTTTGTTGAACACACAGCGCCATCTAGTGGCTTCAGAAAATAAAGACAGTGGTTCATGAGGCCTCATTTTGCTGTCACTACCTGGGAGTGCATACTGACAAGAAACTGGACTGGTCTAGGAACCTTCTCTACAAGAAGGGCCAGAGCGTATCTATTTTCTGAGGAGGCTGAGGTTTTGTTTTATGAGTCTGTGGCGTTCTGTTTGCTGCTGTGTGCTTGGGCAGCAGGTTGAGGGTAGCAGATGCCAACAGACTCAATAAATTGATTCGCAAGGTCAGTAACGTTGTGGGGGCGGAGCTGGACTCTGTGGTGGTGGTGTTAGACAGGAGGATGCTGTCTAAGATACGTGTCATCTTGGACAATGTCTCCCTCCCACTCCACCATATGCTTGTCAGACACACGAGCACATTCAGTGACAGACTCATTCCCTTGAGATGTACCACAGAGCGCCACAGGAAGTCATTCCCACCTGGAAGTCATTCTGTCAGCCACTCTGAGTCAATAGACTGGCATTTGGACTTTTTAACCCAGTGCATTTATGATTCATAATAATCTTTTGGGTGCAATAGTTAAACTGCCACAATATTCTGTGCAAATTATTCATGACAGTGAGAAGTGTCTATCATTCAACACTTAACTGCATTTTCCCGTACTATGTAGTGTGAATGCACTTAGCACACTTGCACACTCAAAATATTTAATGTTTGGTATGCAATTTGAGTCATACTGTCTTGTCGGACTAGTTAATGTTACATCCTGGAGTCTTAGCTGGTTTCCAAGCAGGCCAAGAAATAATCAGGCACATAGGGCCTAACCTTGTTACTCAGCTTTTTTTTTTTTTTTTAACAGATTCAACACACAAACTATAATAGGTTCTTGTGCTTTAGTTAGTCCTGGCATATGGACTTTGTTATAGCAGAGTCAGCCTAGCTAGCATGTTAGCTAAGCACTGCACTGTACGATAACAATAGACCATTTACTATTAGTGAACAGTATGGCGTTTTTGGGTGAGCGAGGCTTAGCTGGAGGCAAAACAAATCTCCGCAGACATTAGCTAGTGTTAGCTAGCAAGTTCTGTTGGCTTGCTTTAGACAATGGAGGAAGATGATATAAGTGGTGCATTCAGAAATACTCATTCCAAGTGTTGGAGCGCACTCTCGTACAAACTGGACCGTTGGTAAATTCACAGCGGTGACGGAATATATTGTTCAGTTATCCAGAGCAACGCATGCTAAGAATGGAATGTGTGTGTGTTAACTTAACTGTTTGTTAGTTCATATAGAAATATACTAATGCTCTCTTTCTCAGACCAACAGGGCTCTCATTTTAGTGTAGAGCATCAGACTGAGGTTATGAACGCACCATGTCAGGTCACTCACTCTCCGGGACCACGAGTGTTACTTGAATAAGTAAACACTGACCAACGGGACCAGACTGGCCGACCCGAATGCTCTCACTCAGTGGATGGATGATGTCACAGGAGGCTTTGTGGTTAATTACTATGCCAATCTTACAAAGGAGGACAACACTTGAACGGTTTCCTCCAGTTTGTTTTGCTATCCAAGCTAACGCTAGCTAAGGCACTAAAAAGTTAGTGTTACAGAGAAATCCAATATTCCTCTTAATACTTCCCCAGTTTCTGATGAGGTGGACATGATAACCCTCAATACACATAACGTTATTCGTCCCTACAACAGGAAATACTTTTTCCCTAACCCCTAACACGTGAGCATTTTTGACGATCACCTCCGTCCAGTCCTTTCGTCTTATTGCATTCAATCACAGTTGTCTTTGTTTTTGTTGACGGGCAGTGGCGGCTGGTATGAGATAAAATGTCATTTTCAAGCCATGACTCCTTCTATTCTGGCTCCCAATAACACAACAAGACAACATTTTAAGACTCCTATGTAGCCTACAGCCCTGTGGTGGAGTGGAGTGTTTTACATCCAGCTAACAAACTGACGTCATTGTGATGTCAGCCCTAAAAAGGTCTATACGGTGCCAAAATCAGGTAGGTATGGATCAGGTAACAATATAAATCAATGAATATAAACATCTAAACAAGTTAACAGTAGGTACATTTCTTAATGTCCCATTATTACAGACACTAGCATGGCTGTTGCGGAACGTATTACGGTCTAAACAAGATGGTAATTAAGTTTTACATTCTGCTACACATTCACAGATCTAAAATCCACTGACCTTTGTTGTATTTCATAACTGACATGCTGCCCTCTTGACCTGATCTTTAAAAGTTGCCATCAAGACTCATCCTGATATGTGATCAAAGATGAATGCTGAAGTGACTTGTTAACATTCCCCAGGTGATGACAGCATGTGACAGATTTTTCTCTCCTTTTATTGCATGCAGCCACAACCTTAGATTAGCTCTATAAAGATAAGCTACTAAATCACATCTTGGTGGAACGAAAACTGGTTTTGGATATGCTTCAAAATGATTTTGTTTGATTGCCAGTTCTTTCTTACAGACCAACAAACATTTAAAAAAGTGAGAATAAACATGGTATATGATTTATTATCCACATTTATTATTAAAATCAAAACTCATTTATTCCAAGACATTTTTTTGTATGAATAAATCATTTTAAATACATGAAAAAGTATTCAGTTATACATATACATAAAAGTACATTCCCTAGAAATCAAGATGACATTCTGAAATGCTTGTTTCCATCCACAACTCAAAGACACTCAATATCTTTGGATTTCTGGGTGAAGGGGTTTGGTTAATGGTCAATTATAGGAGACCGAAATTGAATAAACAAATTACATAAAGTAAAAAAGTAAACTAATTTTCACAGTTACAGATTGTTTTTCCTTGAAAACAAGAACAAAGTGGGTTAATTTTGAATTATGAGCCCTTCTCCTCCACCAACTTATCAGTTGTTTGCCATTGCTCATTATTTTCATGGTGCTAAGATATTATTGAACATTTGCACATTATGAAAATTAATCTGCTGAAATAGGATAGTTTGGGTTTGGGAAACTCTGGTCTTGTTGGTGTTGTTGTTGTTGTTGTTCTTCCTCTTCAGAGGGCAACTTCAGGATAAAATAACACAGGAGTCCGTCCAGTAGGAGTTGAAGGTTTGTGCAAAGCAGAACATTCATATAAATAGTGAGGTATTGATCAATTACCTCCCCATGTTTGGCTGCACTGAACATAAGGCAGTCAAGAATGAAAGAGGGGGTGAAAACAATTAAGAATGTAAGCATGGCGACAAGCACAATCAGTTTCTTCATAGTGGCAGCAGTGGGGGGCACGGATGACACTGTGCATTTTGCAATGATGGCCAAAGCTAATCCAATGGTGAGAGCTTCCAGCACAAATATTGTCATCCGCATGAAATATAAATAAAAAGGGATAATCCCTATAACCAAGCCCGTCACAATTGTGTACAACCAGTACAGTTTGGCTCCCGATTGTGGGTGGCACAAGAAGAGGAGGCACAAGAGGGCATTTAAGACATGTAAAATCAGTCCTTTGCATCTGAACATGAACCACACAAAAAAGGTGGTAGCATGGGTGAGTCCAGAGATGGAGGTGGACCCGACGAACCCGGTCGCCAAAACGATTGCTGCGATTGCATTCATACCATCAATCAAGAGCAGGGCGAAAAGACCGCAGTGGATGTTTTGAACACCTTTGAGACTGCTACACTGTCTTGACATTTTCAAGATGATAGCTTCTTTAAAAACTTTGAGCCTGCTGCACTGCGACCAGAAGGCACAGATGTAGCTGATGAGCCCCAGCAATACTGAACACCCAGGGTAACTCCCGTAGCCAAATACGGGACTCCTTCAACACCTGCTTTCATGAGGAGGGCTGCTTCCCCACTGTAGGGCGAGGTGCTGACAAGAGAGATGACGTTCTCCATGACGTGGTGGTCTGGCCAGTTTTGTCGTCCTGGTGGAGGGGAGAAAAAAAAGTCTTGATTTAATCGTGTCACTCAAGGATCATCATCTA